GCCACTTCTTCCCCTCTTCCTCTCCGTTCTTCCTCTCCTCCTCCATCTGCTTGCGCCATATCTTCTTTTTTTCCTCAAGCACGGCCAATTCCCGCTCTTTCTCTTTCACCTTCGTCTCCGCCGCTGCAACCGCTTCTTCGTTGCCGGGTCCTGTCAGTTCTGCCCTCCATCTTTCATGCCGTGCATTGCGGATCTCGCCTTTCTTGTCATTGATGCGTTTCTTGAACAGGTCCTCCATCTTCACTCGCTGAACATGGCCCTTCACCCTCTCCACCTCCGCCTTCATCCTCTCCACCTGTGCCTGCGTATGCACCGCCCTGATCTCGTCATGTCCCGCCTTTAAAGCGGCAAGCTGTTGTTGTGCGGCCTGCAAGTCATCTTCCAGTTCTCGCTGCACACGCAGCACTTTGGCATACTTTGCACTGTCTTCATCCAGGGTCCATCTTTCCAGCAGATAGAGCATGTCGTCCATCCTGCTGCTGCTGCCGCTGCTGCTGCTGCTGCTGCCTTGCTGCTGCGCGCATACTTGCAACTGCGTAATGGTCGCAAACTGCGTGACTGCCTCCGTTATGATGGACGCCTGTGCATGACGGTGGTGTTGTGACGGTGGGGTAAGAGGTGATACCAGTCTGTGGTGGGGGGGGGGGGTGTGAGGGGGTGGGGGATTCGGTTGCTGCATCGCAAGGCAGTGCTGTGTCAATGTGTGCTAGTGCATGCGCAATTGCAGAACCTTGGAAGCCACGCGGGTTTCAGTTCGCTTCAAGTCTCTCTGAAAAGAAAAGACGGGGGGGTGGGTGTTATGCACGAGAACATGAGGTGGGTGCGGGTATGAGCAACATCGTGGCGGAAGCCGAAATCACAGCACGTGTTGTGGTGATTGCACCGTGGTGGTGGTAGTGGTGGTGGTTGCGACGATGGTGATGGTTGGTGGCTGCGGTGGTTGTTGCTGTCTGTGGTGACTGTGGTCGGTGGTTGACGTACCACGCTGCGGCGTGAAGCCAGCTGGTGTCGACAGAACGGCGTTGTGGTGGTTGAAACGGGTTGGGCAGAGAGTGTGGGTGAGCACAGAGGGTGAATGCAAACACTACACACACAAGCGCACACAAGCAGCTGTGTTGCAGAGGAGAAATGATAACGGCACTGTGGTGGTGGTGGCTGCATTTGTTGCGGTGGTTGTTGCTGTCTGTGGTGACTGTGGTCGGTGGTTGCCGTACCGCGCTGTTGCGTGAAGCCAGCTGGTGTCGACAGAACGGCATTGTGGTGGTTGAAAGAGGTTGGTCAGATGGTGTGGGTGAGCACAGAGGGTGAATGCAAACATCACACACACACACAAGCAGCTGTGTAGCAGCGGAGCAATGATAACGGCACTGTGATGGTGGTCGGTGGCTGCGGTGGTTGTTGCTGTCTGTGGTGACTGTGGTTGGTGGTTGACGTACCACGCTGTTGCGTGAAGCCAGCTGGTGTCGACAGAACGGCGTTGTGGTGGTTGAAAGGGGTTGGGCAGATGGTGTGGGTGAGCACAGAGGGTGAATGCAAACATCACACACACATACACACACACAAGCAGCTGTGTTGCAGAGGAGCAATGATAACGGCGCTGTGGTGGTGGCTGCACTGTGGCGGCGTCGATAGTGATGCTGGTCTGCTTCTGCTGGCAGGACGAACACGTGTATCATGCAATCCAGCTTGTACTCGACAGACCATGAACACCTGCTGTTTCCGCTTACCCTTGAGGAGGCCTGCTTATGTGCAACAGCACACAATTCAAGGAACGACACGCACAGAGCAGACACAAAGCAAGGACCAAGGAAATGTTTTTTTTTTTTTTATTTAAAATACAAAAAACAGGGGCAGGGGAGTGTGTGTGCGTATGTGTGCTGTGGCCAAGTGAACGTGCAACACAGCAGCATGGTCGCATTTCTTTGTACGTACTGCGTTGAATGTCGCAGAGCTCATGCTGCCCGACTTGGTGTCAGAACAGGACTAGGCCAAGACAAAGGCGGGCACAAAGGCACAGGTAAACAGGAACGTGAGCCACACTGAGGTTGTGTGTGAAGTGAAGATGCACCACACAGAGATATGCACATACACATACACGCATCAACACACACACATACTCTCTCTGTTCTTCCGTACAGGATGCAAAGAGTGGGAAACACAGTAACACAGACGGTGTGGAAAGAAAGTGAGGAAGGCGGGAATCGACGACAACAACCAACGTCAGGGTCGACACACGGGCACAGACGACACAAGACACAAATGTGTGCTCAATCACTCCAAGGGATGATCGAATGAGCGAGAGAGCAAGATAGAGCGCGAGCGAGGAGGAGAGCTCGCGCGAAAGAGAGAGCGCGCGAAACAGAAAGAGGAACAGAAACAGACAGAGAGAGAGAGAGACAGGGAGACGGAAGGGGAAGACCGGGGATAGATAATGAAAGAGACAGAGACTGAGTGACACAGGACAGCTCTGCACACACACACACACACATTCACACACACACACACACACACACACACACACACACACACACACACACAGCACAGAGCACAGAGCACAGACAACAACCTCTTCGTCGATGCGCCACAGCCCGCCTGACGCCGAATCGAAGCTGCCTCTCGTGCTTGCCATCCTTCGTGGTCTTCGTGCAGTTGGTCGGTTGGCTCGTGTTGGTTGTACTGGTCAACAGCGAAATTGAATTTCGCGGCGGGATCATTAAATCACCCTCGAATCTTTTGCAACTTCTCGTCATTGGGGAAAATTTGTTGAAATCTTCCACCATTCCCAGTGCTCAGAGATGAGGGAAGCAATCAAAACTGAAAGTGTGCTCATTTCAGACAGGCGCTTGCACGAGTGGGTGACTGGGTGATGTGAGGGAGTAAATGTCTGCTACTGAATGCTTGAATGCTATGTGAGCGGCCCAAGGGCCTCAAGCGTTGATAGACAGAAACCAACAAGATCGATAGAAACCAAGTGTCTCGGTGTGTGTGTGCGTGTGTGTATATCTCCTTCGTGTCCCTCTGTGTGTGTGTATGTGTAGCCCTCCCTTCCCCCCACACTCGGCGCTGTTGCTGCTGTCATCCGCAACTAATCCATGACCACTTTTACTCCCATCATGCTGTCAGATGCACGAAGTAATGTTGTGATGTGACATCAAACAGAGCAAACGGGCATATGGCAGAGAGTGACGTCCCCCTGAGAGAGCAGCGTCCCAACAGGAAGGAAGGCAAGGCCACGTCACGTGCGCACGACGCAGCACAACAGTGGGCCACAGCCCAGCGCAACAGCAACTCCTCTTCATTGCAAACACAACCAACAAGCAACGACGCGCACGACACATGCACACACACACACACATGCACACACATCACCACGCCAATCAAACCCCCCTTGCCTCCATCAGACGGGCTTGTCCTCGCCATGCGTGAGGTAGTAGTGCAATCGCCGCAACTGCTCCAGAAACACAAACGTGAGGATCGTTTGTGGGCCCAGACGAGTAAACGCAGGCACCGCCCCCCTGAAGAAGGCGAGCGGTCCTTCCTGCTTGAGCGTCATGCCCGCACACTGCAGCGCGCTGCTGTATGTGCCTGGGGTCGCTGCCATCACGCGCGTCTTCACCACGTCGACCGGCTGTGTCAGCAGCGTGGCAACGCCACCGGCAAGCGTCGACGCCGTGAAGTGGGTGACGAGGTTGTCCTTGAGCAGGCCGCCAGTTGTTGTCAGCAGCTGCTGCTTGAACGTGTCATATGAGGCGAGCTGCCCCGCCGTCATGAGCATGGCGCGAATCACGTTGGGCCCGAGCCCAGAGTACAACTTGCCAATGCCTTCCTCCCTGATGATGCGAACAAGGGCGTTGCCGACGTGCTTGTAGTTGCGGCGCTCGGCAGCCGGCAGCCGGCCATCATCCTGCATGCGCACGTTGCACACGTCCATGGGTGTGCCCACAATGCCACCGCACCCGCCCGCGGTCATGGCTGTTGCAAAGCGCTCGGCAGTCGTCAGCTGCCCGTCAGCCTTGCGGGCACTGAATTCAGCCTTGAGAAAGTCGTACACTGTGTGTGTGTGTGTGTGTGTGTGTGTGTGTGTGTGTGTGTGTGTGTGTGTGTGTGTGTGTGCGCGTATGTGTGTGTGCGTGTGTGTGTGCGCGCGTGCGGAGAGAGGGTACAGGAATGGCGGTCGGTGAGCCACGAGTATGGACGCAGACAGGCACCACAGAGACAGAGCAGCAGGCAATCAGGGGAAAGGGGGTGTTGAATGGTTGGTGTCGTGCTGTGAAGGACAGTTGATAGAACAGGTGTGCAAGTCACGCTGCAACACACGCAAACACACGCTCCTGTCGAGAAAAACACACACACGCACGCACAGGCACACATGCACACAGAAATACGCACACACACACGCACACACGCACACGGATGACACACAGGAACACACAGAAACACATACAAGCGCACACACATGCACACATGTGTACACGCACAGACGGGCGCATTTGGATGCCACACCTGCAAAGCGGGTGGTGGAGTATGTGCCCTGCCTGCCCAGGGAGGCGGTGAGGCCACGGTAGAGTGCGCGGAACCCTTCATTGCGAACAAGAACCACTGCCGTCTGCACGAGTCCGCGCGGCGCCGTCCCAGGCGCTGCTCAGGCCGGCACAAACACGCAACCGTTGATGAGAAACGGACAAGAGGCGGCGAGAGTGAGTGAGGGAGTGAGTGAGAGAGTGTGTGTGTGTGAGTGTGTGTGAGAGTGAGAGAGAAAGAGAGAGTGTGTGTGTGAGTGAGTGAGAGAAAGAGAGAGTGTGTGTGTGAGTGTGTGTGTGGGTGTGTGTGTGAGTGACTGAGAGAGTGTGTGTGTGTGTGAGGGAGGGAGGGACGGAGGGACAGAGATGCAGAGAGGCAAAGGAAGAGGGAGGGGAAAGAGGGGGACGAGAGAGGCATCGACAGAGTCAAGCAGAGAGTGTGTGGGGGGAGCGTGCGTGCGTAAGTGTGGTGTGTGAAAACATACGGTACTGTACTCGACTGTCGCGTTATCGCGTGCACCTC